AATACACACAAACAAAACACACACACACACACACACACACACACAGCTCCCAAATGTCTGAAACTAAAGCCCTCCTTTTCTTGCCAACTCTGAGGTTGAAGAAACAGGATTTAATGGGAAGCAGATGATGTGGGTTTGGCTTTATTCAACACCCCCCCACCCCCCCCAGAAGGGGAAAGGGGGCCCACCAGCCCACCCACAAGAAGCAGACCCCCCCTCCCTCTCTCCTCTCCACATCAGAGGCAAAATGCAAGAAGAAGCAGGGTTAGAGGTTTTGGGAAGGGCAGCCATAAAACACTTAAGCGATAACAAGGGTGGGGGGTGGGGGGGGGAGGAAACGATAAGTAAAAGTTCTTTGGCGCCCAAACAGGAAATCCGAAGAGGGTTAAGCCTTGTGGAAATAAAGGAAGGCCATATTGCTTGGATCAATGGGGAAGGGGAGAAATAAACCCGAGATGTATTAAAGATGGTCTCCTTACTGGACCAATTTAAGGATTGGAGAATCCTTCCTTCCTTCCTGCTGGTTGGTGGGCAGAAAGGAAGACCGAACCGGAAACTCTGCTGGGATTTCGCATTTGTTGAATTACTCCCAGGTGAGTTCACAGGCCAACCCTAAACTGTTCCTTCTGTTTCACTACATCCTTTAGAGGAGGAAGAGGAGAAGGGGGGGAGAGGAGGGGGAGGAAGAGGAGGAGAAAGGGAGGAGGAGGAGGAGAAGAAGAAGAGGAGGAAGAGAAGAGGAGGAAGAGAAGAAGAGGAGAAGAAGAGGAGAAGAAGAGGAGAAGGTGGAGGAGAAGAGGAGGAGGAGGAGGAGGATAAGAAGAGGATGAGGAGGAAGAGGAGAAGAGAAGGAGGAGGATAAGAAGTGGTGGAGGAGGAGGAGGAGAAGAGGAGGTGGAGAAGAAGAGAAAGAGGAGGAGGAAGAGAAGAAGAGGAAGAGAAGAAGAAGAGAAGGAGAAGAAGAAGGAGGAGGTGGTGAAGGCTAAATGCACCCCAAGTGACTACGGTCCCTTTCCAAGCAAGTACAGCTAGTCCTTGTTATTACCAACAGTTTGGTTTAGTGACCGTTCAAAGTTACAACGGCACTGAAAAAAAGTGGCTGAGGACTGTTTTCCACCCTCCACGACTGCTGCACCAGCCCCGCGGCCACGTGATCAAAATTCGGCCACCGACTCATATTTATGACATTCTCAGGGTCATCAGGATCCAGCCAGGCCCATGCGAAAGCCAGGTTCACTTAACCACTGGGTTTACTAACATTCACAGCGGCGGTGACTCACTTCAAACAGTGGCCAGAAGGGTCATAAATATGGGGCAAAGCTCACCTAGCTGTCTCCCTTAGCAACATAAATTCCGGGCTCGCTTGTGGTCGTACATCGAGGACTCCCCATTATCAAACGTTGGGGACCTTCTACACTCTCGGCTAATAAATAAACGACAAGCAGCCGATCCAATAGCAATTTCAGCGCAGTTTCTAAATCTGGATTGTCTTGGCAGGCAGGAAAAGTCTGAAAATAATTCCCTACAGGAAGTTTCCCTCCTCCATTCCATGCCTCGGAATGAAGAGCCTGGGCCGAGCCCTCTCCCCGCCGAGACTCCGTATCTCAGCGTGGTCGCTTGATGGCCTGAAAAGCTGAAGCCAAGGAAATTAAGGACAGTTCTCACTTGGCTCAATGGTTAATGACCCTGAGCTCGTCAACTGGAGAGCTAACAGCTCAGGTTCGAGACCCAAGCGCAGTGAGCGTGGGTGAGCTCCTGTTCCTTGCTCCTGCACATCTAGCCATTCGAAAGCATGCCAATGTGAGTAGATAAATAGGTACCACTTCGGCTGGCCACATAACCATGGAAAAATATATTTGGGCAACACCGCCCCCCACCCCCCCCCAGCCGAGAAACAGAGATCAGCACTGTGCCTTAAAGTCGGACACATCTGGACAGGGAAACATTCACCTTTATCTAGATATGCTACCAAAATGCTCTTGGTCAGTTTGACTTATTAGTTCAGAAGAAAAATGGACCCATTTAGCCAAGAAAAACGATGTTGGCTTCGATAGAAGACAGCTTAGTTTACAATCCTGTTCCCAACATGTTTTGAACAAACCAGTACCGGTTTTAGAAAGTTGGTTTTCTGCATTAGTTAGTTTTGCATTTCACGGTCTTTTTGTTTTGGCTTTAGTTTTTCCAGAAAGAATCGGCTTCAATGCTAGAAAAGTCATGATTTTTATGAACAGATGACCTTTCTCCTATTGTTTTAACACAAAAGAGTCAGGAATACAAAGCAAAGTTCTTCAATCCAGCCTACGTATCAATCCCTTACTTCAATTAAACACAATATTAATATTTGGAGGAAAAACCAAGCCCGGGAAATCAAAAAGGATTTTTTTAAAAAAAGCAATTTTGCCAGTAAAACTACGTGTTTGACTCTTTAAACTCCCAAGGAGCTGAAAGCAACATGAAGGGATCTTGATTCTGGATTCTACAATGTGCTCTAGCATCGCCGTCCCTCCAGCGAGCAAAAATATTTTAGCTGCATAGAAAAATATGCAACATTCTCGGAGTCAAATTAATCTCTGCCATCAAGTGAATAAATTACTCATAAATTTCACGGCCCCCTTACAAAGTTAAGAGAACACACAATCTTTGTGCAGATGGCAAGAATTATTCTTTCGATTGTATATAACTAAACAGCTGCCTTGAAATTCCAGAATACTAATTAATGTGCCTTAATATATCCACAGAGCTGAGCAAGATTACAGACTTCTGTGTCTGTCTTGATACACACGAACAGCCTCTTAGGAAACTCTTAACTTCCCTGAGTTTTATTTGGGGGAAAATAGAATATTGCAGATGAAAACACCCTGACCAATTTTACGACACACAAAGCTTGACTTCCAGGTCAGATCAGGGTTTGGATTGTTTCACAAAGAGGACTGGAATCTTAAGGAATGCAATCATCCTTGCACGAATGTCATTCATTCCAGATCTGAGAAACAAATGTTTGCCGTGGGAGGCCATCAGCCCTCCGTTCTATGCACGCATAAATTAAAATAAAAAATTAAAATTAAAAAAAAAGTGAAGCAGGGTCAACACACATCATACTCAAGCAAATAAGGTACTATACTGCACCGTGATTTTACTCAGAGGCTGTTCACTGAGCAACCAGAAGAACAACAGATTCAGCATATCCTGGTTGTAGAATAAACGTTTTCTTCCAAACAAGAAGCAGGCAGGCAGGTAACTAAGAAGAGCCTTTGGGAGCTCAGGAAAGTAAGATGGATTGGAAAGGCTTTCCAAGGTGGTTTACCCTCAAATAATTGTATTACATTTTACGCATTTTTTAAAAAAAGGGAGAAAAACTAACGATGAAGAGAAACAACAGAAGAGTAGAAAGAGGAGAGGGATAGAAGTTGTGAGAAAGTATAAAGGCGGGGAAAAGGCAAAGAATACGCGAAGAATACCTCCGACTTCTTCTAATTCAGAGATAAGTATGGAAGAACGCTTCCATCCGAGCTGTAGTTTGAGACTGCAGCCTAAGGAAATACATCGAGAGTTTCTGTTGCTAAGATGAGATCTTTGCCCAGCGAATTTGGCCCCGTGTTATGACCTTTCTTGTCACGGTTGTTAAGTGGATCGCTGCGGCCGTTAAGTGAGGAACAAGGTCGCTAAGTGAATCTTGGCTCCCCCCCGCGGACTTGGTTTGTCAAAAGATTGCAAAAGGGGTCATCACGCACTGCGATGGTCATAAATACATGCCAGCGGCCAAGTGTCCGAATTTCGTTCGCGTGACCACGCCGATGCTGCAACGGTCGTTAAGTGTGAAAGGCTTCCAGAGTTCAAATAAACTCCCTCCTTTCCCCCAAACACCCTGTCTTGAGGGGGTGTCACTCGGTACTCTCTTGAGCTGGGGTGATGGTTCTTGCTGTCATTACCAAACTAAGTAACATCATCAGTGCCTGTCATCCGGTCTCCCCAAAGCTTCTCCGTGCAAAATCCATCCCAGGGGTCCTTTTTTGTATGTGCTTAGAAACAAACCTCTCCCCCACCCCCCTTTTAAACCACCCTTCAGCTCTCCAGACTGGCGGCTCAACTTTTCAAAGTGTCCATTCTCCCAAATTTGGAAGGCCTGGTACCTTTAAGCTAGACTTCGATTCAAAGGCAGTTGTGCGTTTGCGGCTTCTGTGTCAGGCCAAGCCTATTTCTTATGGAAGTGTGTGCCTCCAAGAGGGTGCCAGGGTGCGACTTAATCCACGCCAAGGATTTATTAAAGTGGGGGCAGCTTGTGGGTCGGATTAAACTGCCCCCTCCCCCCCCCAGGGAGGATATTTAAACCTAGTTAACCCGAGGGTGTGATGTTACAGCTGACCTTCGCTGGCTTTCTATCTGTCGCTTTCTATCTGAGGATTTACTTGGACTGCCATGTTACCGAATAAGTCCCCGTTATTTAGGGTCCAGCAGGGGATGCTTTAGAGTTTAAACCTCGGTTTGCACAACCACGATGCCCCCTCCTCCCCCGGCCCCTATTTACAGAGACGTGCAACAACACACAGCCCCATTTGTCACAACGAAGCCTTCTTTGTTCAACCCAGAAAGAAGCCGGAGAGAGAGAGAGCTCCAGTGATCCCAAGGAGCCCTGGAGAACAAGCGAGCTCCAAATCGGGGAAAGGAAAGAAGAAACACCCCCCAACACCCCCAGAAAAGCAAGCCAAAAACGCACCCCACCCCACCCCCCAAAAAACCCCAAGCTAAACTAGCCGGATTCACACCCCACCCGGAACCACCCAGCACCAACAATACATCGCAAGGGCACCAGCCGGGGCGCTTGGCAGCGGCCATCGCCAAGTGCGCCCCAGAGCGCAGCGCGGATGGAGAGAGAGCGCACGGATTCCCGAGGGCTGGCTTGGCGAGACCCGGATCCCGGGTGTTTTGCACGTCGTGTGAACCCCTCTTCTTTGCAACCCCCCCCCCCATTTCCAGCCTGCGTCCCGGCCGGGTTGGTTTACCTCCAGCGGGGGCAGATCCGGGTCCAGCTGGGTGAAACTGTGCAGGACCACCGGGCTGGCTTCTTCGGCGGCCACCTCCAAGCGGACGGCATCCCAGAGGCTGCGGAGCCGGCGGCAGCCCTCGAAGAGGCGCTCGGGGCTGCCTTGGAGAGCCCGGGCGGAGCGCTCCTCCGGCAGCAGCTCCGACCACATGAGCGCCACCATGGAGCTGCGCCCGCCGGCCTCCGCCTTGCAGCCAGCTCGGCCGAGCGCTTTGCGGGGAGAGAGAGAGAGGCGGGCGGGCGGGCGGGGGGGCGAGTGGGGGGTCTCCCCGGCGCGCTTCTTCTGCCCCCGGGGGCGGCCAGCGGCGCAGGGAGGCTTTTCGGGAGCCCCTCCCCCGGGAAGAGGGCCCGCCCCCTCCCTCCAGCAGCCCTGATGTCATTCAAACCCTGCGGCGGGGGGGGGGG